TGCGTCGTGCAGAGCCGTGGCAGCTGGAGAGGACCTCACTGCGGAGCGAGGGAGCTGCCCTCGCTCCTCGCTGGGGAGCTGCCCTGGGACCCTTCCCGGGCACAGGAGCAGCAACCCACTGTTACAGGGTCCAAAGTTCAGGCTGCTTTCCCGCTGATGATTTCTTTGCTGAGGATGTGTGGCTGTGCGTTGGGAGCAGGAGAGAGCCCTTGTAGCTGTAAGAGCACGGGAGCCTTTGCATCTCATCCCTGTGCTGCTTAGCAGAGCGGTGCCGAGCTTGGGCACAGGGCAGGAAGTGTCTGTATGGAAGTTCCTATGAGAGCATCCTCTATTTTATTTTTTTTTAAATTAAAGCTCTGAAGCTGAAGTGAGAATGGCAGAGGGTGGTGCTGTGCCTTGCAGGTGGCAGCAGAGAGGGAAGGGGCCACACCTGGAAGTGGAGATGGAGGTGTAGGTGGAGTCGTTACATGGGTCAGGTGAGCTTGGGGATGGTGCTGCAGGGCAGGAGCTCTGCTGCTCTCGGAGGCTGCAGCCTTTCACTGGGGAAGGATGGGCAGGAGTGGAGCTCCAGGGGCCATGGTGGCCCCAGGGAACTCGGGGAGAGGAGGATGAGGACGAGGCACTGGCACAGATAGGCAAGTGGAGGAGGGATGGGAACTGGTGACTGAGCTTAGGGTGATGGACAAGGAAAACCCACTGCCTTGAAGCCTGCTAAGAAAGCAGGTGAAGAAGGAAGGGAGAGGGGGAGGCAAACAGGCTGAGATGTTCAGGGAACAAAGCAAGGATTAAGGTGACTATTGAGAGCTTGGGAAAGACTAGGACTGAGCTGTAGTAGCTTTGGGACACTGTGAACATAAAAAAAAAATTACCATTTTAAGCAGATAATGATGAAAGATGAACTGGGGATGAGAAGACAGGATTGAAGCGTTGAAGCACTGAGGCTCTGAAGCAGGACCTCTTTTTACAGAGGCATTTTACTTGTATAGGCAGGGGGATGAGGTGCTGCTGCCTTTGGTGGGGGGCTGGTTTTGGGGAGAGCTTTGCTGCAAAGGACAGCAGCAGCAGCAGCTCCTGGCAGAGCTGTGCCCCCCACTTTGCAGTGGGGGTGGCAGTGCCCTGGCAGTGGGGACCCCTCAGGACCTGTTCTGCCCTCTCAGTCTTTGAATGCAGCAGCCTGAGCAAGACACCCACTTCAGAAACACCTGTGGCATCTTTCTCTGATGGCTTTTCTTTCCAGACCACAAACTGCCTGGAGGGACCTGACCGCATGCTGGCAATGGCCTCTCACCACGTGATAACAGTTCAGCCCCAGTTTTCAGCTGCCCCGCGGGTAGGCGAGTGGCAGTCAGGGCTGCTGGACTGCTGCTCCGACTTCGGCGTGTGTGAGTACACACATACCCCTCGTTCCTGGTGTTGGGTCACGATGTGTTTCTGGTGTTTTCCCCGCTCTTTCTGTGGCATCACCCCTGCCGCAAACCCCATTTTTGTGGGTACCAGTGGCAGAGCAGCTCTCATCTGAGGTCAAGAGCCATGGCTCCCACAGCTGCATCCCCAGCCGGCTTTCCCCCCTTTCCTCTTTCTTTGCACTCCTCAGCCAAGCCTGTGTCTTGCTGCCCCACAGGTATTTGTGGAGCCTTCTGCTTCACCTGCCTGGGGTGCCAAGTGGCTGGGGACATGAACGAGTGCTGCCTGTGCGGCCCCAGCGTGGCCATGAGGACGCTCTACCGCACCAGATACAACATCCCGGTCAGTGACCAACCGCGAGGCCTGCCCCGCTGGCAGTGACAGCCATGAGCTGGGTGCTGGGGTGCCAGCTCAGGGAAGGAGAAAGGGGTGCCCGATGGGAAGAGCAGTGGCAGGGACTTGCATGGGCAGCCCTGCAGGCAGGGAGCCAGGGACACATCTGCATC